GGAAAAAGAATATCTCAAAAAGGAAGTATATCTCAAAGAGAAAAAAGGAGACGAAATTAAGCCCGAAACGCGAGGAAACAATCAGTATGAAAAATAAGGGATTTTCATGAGGTTTAAAACAACGCTCACCGTGTTTCTCTTGATGGCGTTGGGCACACTAATTATGACTACAAATCGGGTCAACGCCGAGACCGAAGTTGACTTTGAGACACAGATCTTGCCTATCCTCAAGAGTCGTTGCTTCAGTTGTCATAGCGCGCCAAAGGCAGATGCCAGTGGGTTCATCACGAAACCGAAGGGTGGTGTCCAACTCGACAGTGTAGAAGGCATTGCAGCGAGTCTGCACGGAGAGGTTATTATCGCTGGCGAGCCTGAGGATTCGCTTCTCTACCAGCGTATCACCTTACCCGAAGGCGATACCGGTATTATGCCACCGTCAGATGAAGGCGAACCTTTATCGAAGAAGGAAATCGACCTTATCCGAAAGTGGATTGAGCAGGGAGCAGATTATGGAGAATGGAAGGGAAATCAACCAGAGTCCAAGCCATCAATGACCGATACCAATCCGCACCAACCTACCGTCATGCCACCGATTACTTCTCTCGCATTTTCTCATGATGGAAAATCTGTCGTTGCATGTTCTCAGGCAGGATTGCACGTTTATGATTTTCCGACACTCAACCTACAGCGGATGATTGAGGTAGAAGCACGTAACATACATGATCTCGCGTTTTCGCCTGATGGGATCAATTGGCTGTTGGCGGCGGAAATCCAGCAACTGAAGGCATTATAGAAATTTTTTCGTGGCCCGAGGGAAAGTCGCTCCATACTCTTAGAGAGCATCGCGATTCAGTCACGGCTGTGGCATGGCGGAGTGCGTCATCGCTCGTATCGGCAAGCCTGGACCGGCGCATCATCCTTTGGGACCTGCGCACTGGATCCCCCATCCAGCAGTTGGAAGGGCATTCACGCGGTGTATCGTCTCTCTGTTTTCTTAATGATAAAGAGACGCTCGTGAGTACAGGGGTAGATCAGAATATCCGCGTCTGGGACTTGACATCTGGTGAACTAATCCGAAGCCTGAACAATCACACACTGCCTGTACACGACTTAGCACTGCGTCCTGATGCGTCGGGGCTTCCCATGATTGTCTCCGCAGGCGATGACCGGACCGTTCGATTTTGGCAGCCGACCATCGGACGCATGGTTAAATTCGCACGACTCAAGGAAGCACCGCTGAATGTGGCATGGCTAAACAACGGCTCAAGGATTGTCGCGCTTGTGCCGATGGTGCTATCCGTCTTGTTGATCCAGATTCAGTAGAAGTTACGGGTGAGATTCAGGCACTGAACGGTTGGGCTTACTCGCTTGCTGTTCACCCAACGGATGGAAGTGTTGTTGTTGGTGGACCGAACGCGCAGGTCCGACGGATTGTCCCCGAGTAACCCAAATAGTATTTTCAACAAACAATTGTTTAGTTCCTAATACCATTTCTAAAAGTTTATATCGCATTAACCGCACCGCCCACCCAGACTCGGTAGGTGCAGTTTTACGGTGTACCATAGGTGTCGAATTCACGTTATACTTACTATAGTTTGGACAATTTTTAATTTTTAGACATAGCACTCCGCTGGAGTGCTGGACTGGCTGCTATTGGCTGCTATAGACATATTGCTCCGCTGGAGCAAAGACCCGCAACCTATCCGTGTGACAGACGCAATCAATATGGAACTAACGATATACCGACCTAGTATGTTTCTCTCACGACCTCGCCAGATGAAGATTGACACAAATAAACGTGGGTCAATTGGGGCTGCGCGACGTGTCGATGAATCGCACTACGACTAACGAATCTGCTTGATCCGTCGAAAACCGTTTGTCACACGTCCCAGAATTACCCCTGTTTATACTTAAACTTCATCTGGAGTGCTGGACTGGCTGCTATTGGCTGCTATAGACACTTGCTCCGCTGAGCAAAGACCGCTCAACCTCTATCGTGTGACAGACTCGCATCATATGGAACTGAACGATACCGACATTAAGATGTTTCCTCACGCCAGATGAAGATTAACAAATAAATTGGGTAATTGGGGCTACGCGACGTGCGATGAATCGCACGACTACGAACCGATCTGCCTGTTATCACACATCCCGGAATTACCCGTTTAAATTCTTAAACTTCATCTGGAGCAAAGACCCGCAACCTATCCTTGTGACAGGCATCAATTGGACTAACGTACGACATTAGGAGTTTCCTCCGCCAGTGGTTTTTTTTGGGTTTGGGGTGGGGGTGGTGTGGTGGTTGTGTTTTGGTTGTTTTTTTTTTTTTCTGGAGCAGACCCGCAACCTATCCGTGTGACAGACGCAATCAATATGGAACTAACGATACCGACATTAAGATGTTTCCTCACGCCAGATGAAGATTAACAAATAAATTGGGTAATTGGGGCTACGCGACGTGCGATGAATCGCACTAGACTACGAACCGATCTGCCTGTTATCACACATCCCGGAATTACCCGTTTAAATTCTTAAACTTCATCTGGAGCAAAGACCCGCAACCTATCCGTGTGACAGACGCAATCAATATGGAACTAACGATACCGACATTAAGATGTTTCCTCACGCCAGCGGCGTGATATGTCTATAGACATAGAGATGCAGAGTGCCCCGCACTCCAGCGGAGTGCTATGTAAAGCCGCGTGCGTTGGGCATAATGTGCGTTTTGATGAGTTATGCTCAGCCCCAAACTCGTAAAAAAATGAAAAGATGTTGGAAAACTCAACGTCCAACCGACGTAAATTGTCCAAACTATAGTTACACTTAAGGAAATTTAAAAATGCGGAAATATCAATGTATCGTTATTATCATCCTAATTGTTTGTATGGTTTTCCTTTGCGAATTGCACTAAAGTGCAGAATAAGCCGATACCTGTTGTGTTAGATGTTCCGGTAGATGGACCGACAGATGTAATGATTTATACAGGTAGTTCCTCTTGGATCACATTGGAAAATGCAACAGTTGAAGCAGAAATGACGAAGAAACTTTTGGATTCCAGTGGAATTCGTGTGGAGATTACAGAAAGTGAGGGATCTCTTAAGAACTGGATGGTTGAAACAACAGCAAACGGTACCGTGAATGTCTGCATCCTTTATGGCGTTTTACCCTCATCAATCTATGCCGCGGGGAATATCCAAACCGATGGGTCTATAGCCGAAAACTGGATTGAAACAACGGATGGTGATACGATTTTGAATCAGGCAGATTATTTTGGCTATTACAGCTCGGATGACACTCCCAACTACAAAGCTCCTTTGCAAAACCTCATGGACATCCTTACTGTTGATATAAATGTCGAGGAGATCGATGACCTTTTTATGCGTGTCACTGAAGGTGGCAGAAAAGTCACCCCAAGTTTAGTTAGTTTTGAATCTAACAGACCCTTTCCTTTGGAACAACTCCAATTTGAGTGGTATGCTGAAAAGATATTTGCAAGTAATACCGGTGATGTTCAGGCAACATTGGCAGATCCCATAATTCTTCGAGATGGAGATCGAGGTAGACTTGCAATAGTCCACCAAACACATCATGCGGATAATCCGAAAGCGGAAGTTGCGGCGGAGATAATCATCAACTATCTTTTAGTTGAATAGGATCAAGCAGATTGACCATCCAAGACACTCATCTGTCAGAATAGGCTGTGGTCGCTTGTCATCGAACCATTTCAACGACGGGTGCCTAACTCTTTGGCTTCCGCCTCTGCAAGTACCGCTGCGCCTGCGACTGCATCTTGCACCGCCACGCCTACCGATTTGAAGAACGTGATTTCCTCGTCTGACTGCCGTCCCGGCTTGTTGCCGTTAATGATTTCTCCGATTTCAGCGTCGATTTCAGCATTCGGAATAATCAGGTCTCCCGCCTCCTCTAAACAGTCTTCCCGCGAATCCACCACAATTCTGTGTGCCCGCCTTATTGTTGTTGTATCGACTTCTCGTTTTTCTGGCACGAATGTGCCAACGGCTGTGATATGTGTACCCGGTTGTAGGGTGTTTCCATCAAAAAGTGGGGTTCCTGATGTCGTCGCACATAGAACAATATCAGCATCCTCGACTACCTGTCGCGGCGTGGATACGAGATTGACTTCGGGGGCATCTGTAACTGTCCACGCTGAAATTTCTGTAGCGAGTTGTTGTGCTGAGGCGTGTGTACGACTGATGAGGTTGACGCAGGTGATGTTTCTGACTGCCATCACCGCTTGCAACTGTGCTCTCGCCTGTACACCGGCTCCAAATAACCCAACCGTTTTTGCGTCCTGCCGAGCGAGTAAATCTGCTGCCACGCCGCCACCGGCGCCTGTTCGGATGGCAGTCAGGCTGGCACCGTCCATGAATGCTTTTGGGGCTCCTGTGACTGGATCAAGGACTAAGACTGTTGCGGTGATACGAGGTAGGTCGAGGTTCGGATTATCGTCATAAACCGAGACGACTTTGATGCCGAACTCACTGTTTTCGGGCAGGTAAGCAGGCATGATGAGTGTAACACCTTTGTCAGTGGAGATATGTTGCCGTGGGGGTGCTGTCGCCTTGCCTGCTGAGAGTTGACTGTAGGCGTGCCGCATTGCATCAATCGCTTTAGGCATCGGTAAGGCAGCTCGGACATCGGCGGCTGAGAGAATTCTGATGGGCATACAATCATTCCACGTGAACTAACGCTTCACCTAACACATCCATATTCGGGATAATTCCCAATCCGGGCTGCGTTGCGGCTGCCATTCTGCCATTGGCGCGTTGCGGTGCACCTTCCGCCGTGCTGACGGTGACATAACTGTTAAAATCCGTTGCTGTGAAAAGAAATTCTGTCGGTGTGCTGTGAGCGAGATGTGCAATCGCGGCGGTTGTAATATCGCCACCCCAACTATCTTCAATCGTCATCTGCTACACCGAGTTCAACGCAGAGGTCTCTCGCGAGTTTCGCTTTGGTCAGCCACCGAATTTGCTGATTTAATGTTGACGACATCCATCGCATCGGTCGGCGTGACCGCGTAACAACGCTTCAATGCTGTCAATCGTCTCGTCGAGAACAAAGGGGTGATCCGTGCGCTGACGAATGGCAAGGCATTCCTGATATGAGAGACAGGGTTGTTCGATATAGACATCTACATCGCGCACACCGCGAACAACACGGGCGGCCTCGTGCATCAACCAACCAGTATTCGCATCTGCAATGAGCACATCTCCCGGTTCCATCAATTCCGCAACCGCGTGGATACGTTCAATGTCTATATTTGGGTCGCCCCCGACTTTCAATTGGAATTTGCGATACCCTTCCGCACGGTAGGTGGCAACCTTCGCCGCCATCTCATCGGGAGCTTGTTGGGAAATCGCACGATAGAGCATGAAATCTTCGCCATATCTACCACCGAGAAGTGTGCAGACGGATTGGTTTGAGACCTTGCCGAGAATATCCCAACACGCGATGTCAATTCCTGATTTCACATACGGATGTCCCTTGAGCGCGATATCCATACGTTGGTTGAGCGGAAGCAGTTGCGTCGGGTCTTCACCAATGAGGTGCGGTGCGAGCTCAGCGATGCCAGTACGAGTCCCCGTTGCATAAGCGGGGAGATAGAACGGTCCTAACGGACAGACTTCACCGTAACCGGTAATACCTTCATCCGTTTCAACTGAAACAATCGTGCTATCAAAGACAGATACAGATTTTCCGCCCGACCAGTTGTAGCTGCCTTCGTAGAGCGGAAGGTCAACTTGATAGGCTTTAATACATTGAATTTTCATGTTTTTTCGTGAACTCGATCTAAAAAATAAACACCTGTATAAATGATGCACTATTTATGATGTAAAAGTCAAGTGAAAAAGATGTATCTCATATATCTACTATAACCCAAGTTGCTACTAACGAATTTTAGGCGTTTCAACATGGGGTTTTCAGACACTTTCCCTACCCCAGATGAAGTTTAAGTATTTAATCGGGTAATTCACGGTTATCTTGTCATGTCCGGTGCGGTTGGGAATGCAGATCGCATTTGGTCGAGTACGCCGCAAAACCGCACCATAGGTGTCAATTTAGTGGTCCTCCAGGCCCGGTAGGTTCGGTTTCCTAACCGAACCGGGCTTAACCCAAGAACAGTAGGCTCCATTGAGCAACGGAGACCCCTAACCTGAAAAACGCGTGCTTGTTCGGAAACCAACATGAGTGAAACCTCCAAGCCTGAAGCGTGGCAGCGTCGGGTCCATATCGGTCTGCATCACGATATTCATTTTCTCAGATACGCGCAGCGACGGGTTTTCGCGGATGTCCCGGTTCGGTTAGGAAACCGAACCTACCGGGCCGGAGGGATTCAGCGCGTAACTTTTTCTTAAATTGACACCTATGGTGCGGTTAGGAATGCAGATCGCATTTGGTCGAGTACGCCGCAAAACCGCACCTACCGGGCCTGGACACATTACCTAATTTATTTTTTAATCTTCATGAGGGGTGCTATTGCTTCGCAGTGAGAATACATAGGTGGCAACTTGCGTTATATATAGTGGAATCTAGAACCTATCTCATAAATACCCGTTCGCATATCCCTAAAGAAAACCTTTTTAG